AAAAAGTCATACCAAAAATTTACATCAAAGTACTAATAACTTAAAATATGCGCCCACTGAAACCACTCAAGTGTCTTCGCCCTGGAAGAGTATTACATTGCATCCTGTATGGGACATGTCTACCTCCTCTTTAGACACTCTAGTAGAAAAAGAAGATTTATATATATCTGTCATTTATCCATACTTGACTAGACATAGAGCTTTTGATCTAGGTAGATCTAATATCCAAAAATGGTCTCGGGACTTTCAGGTGGACAACATAACTTTTAAAATACTTCAAAGATACCGAAGGGTTTGCAAAACCATAGTAAATGAAGTATGGCGAGAGACTCAATATAAAATAATGCATCAAGCATATTTACCAATTCAAGGTTTTGACTCGCAGACAGGACTCAACCATAGCTGTCCAAAATGTGGAGAAAATAAGGTTACATTAGCACACTATTTTTTTGTATTGTCCTAGTTAAACATTTTTGGATGCAAGTACTAAGTTATGTATCTAAGATCTGTGGCTATAGCATTCCAGAAGATCCAATGCTAGTTTTGTTTAGCTACTGAGAGACAGTGCCAATGGGACAGTCAGAAAAATACAATACAGAATGGGTCCATATCTGTCTAATAACAGCAAGAAGGTGCATACTTAGAGAATGGTTCAACCTAATGCCCCCAACTATGGAAAGGGTACAGAGAGATATAAAGAACTTGCTTCACTTAGAAATCTTATCAATTACAATAGTTGATGGTGGGGAGCAAAAGTAAAAGAAAATATATCAACGATGGGCTCTATATATGGAGAAATCTTTAACAGCACAGGAAAAAGCCATGTTATCACCTAATTGGGTTTATGCAAATTGGGTTCATGCAAATTACATATCTTTCTTTTATAATTTTATATGATATATTTTATTTTATATTTAATATGCTAGGCTTCAACTTATAGATGCAAAAATGTGTATATACTAAGAGAGTGCTGGTGGAGGTGAGAAATTAATAATGAATAAAGTAGGAATTTAGAGGTTAAAGTTGGTCTGGTGATGGGTAATAGAGAGGAGTATTAAGGAAAATATGAGGATAACTGATATTGTTGAAATTGACATTTTGGACTCCCTTCTCGCTTTTTTTTTTTTTGTTTGATTTTTTTTAACATGTAATTAATTTGTTTGTTTTTTTACTTTAAAGAATTTTTTTTTTAATTAATAAAATGTTTTGGAAAAGAAAAAAAAAACAACACAATCCTCTCCTATTAAAAGGTATACTGCAAGTTACCAGTTCTTGGATGTGGTGGCGGCATTTGTTTTAATTTTTAGGCTAACATTATCAGACAGTACAGAAAATACCTGTTGAGCTTGCCAGAAATGCAGTCTTTGTCACTTCTTGTGAATTGCACTGAAATAACAAATAATCTTATCTTCCTGATGTAAACTACTAATCCCCACCCTCCTCATATAATGGTCAGGAAGGGAAAAAACGTGTCTGATGTCTAGCCTCGGTAAAAACCATGGTTTCCTCCTCCATAGATACAGTGCAGTGCGTGAGTGTAGCCATCCAGGGACAGGGAGTGTGCTACCCACAGAATCACCAGATGAAAATGAAGGAAAATGCCTAAAAAAAAAGAAAAAACCAATGCAGCCACTACATCTAATACCGTATTTTCCGGCGTATAAGACAACTTTTTTTACTTAAAAACATACCCCAACAATTGGGGGTCGTCTTATACGCCGGGTATAGAACGCTGACAGCTCGAGAGGAGAGCCGGTAATCGGCTTTCCGCGGAGGGGACATGTACACTGATCATCAGGGCACTGATGATCAGTGTACCCTGATGATCAGTGTAGCCCCAGCAGTGCCAGCTGTCAGTGTCCATCAGTGCCACATCAATGCCACATATCAGTGCCCATCTGAGCTGCCTTTCAGTGTCACCCATCAGTGCCAGTCAGTGCCACCTATCAGTGCTGCCAATCAGTGCCACCTATTAGTGCCAGTCAGTGCCGCCTATCAGTGCCATGTATCAGTGCTGCCTTTCAGTGCCCATCAGTGATGCCTTTCAATGCCCATCAGTGCTGACAATCAGTGCCACCTGTCAGTGCCGCCTATCAGTGCCAGTCAGTGCCGCCTAACAGTGCCAGTCAGTGTTGCCTAACAGTGCCAGTCAGTGCCACCTAACAGTGCCAGTCAGTGCCACCTAACAGTGCCAGTCAGTGCCGCATATCAGTGCCACCCATCAGTGCCATGTATCAGTGCTGCCTTTCAGTGCCCATCAGTAATGCCTGTCAATGCCCATCAGTGCCACCTACAAGTGCCTCCTCATCAGTGCCACCTATTTCATATGGGTACAGTGTTGCATGACCGCGCAATTGTCATTCAAAGTGTGATAGCACTGAAAGCTGAAAATTGGCCTGGGGGGGAAGTGGGCATAGGTGCCCTGTAGGCTAGGGGTTAAATGGTGTTGCCTCAGATGCGGGGTAGTCTTATACGACGAGTATAACCCAAAACTTATGTTTTAACTGGAAAATTAGGGGGTCGGCTTATACACCCAGTCGCCTTATATGCCGGAAAATACGGTATATGAATTTTTTGTTATTGGGTTTAGATATATATTAAGTATATTAAGGTAAATTGCATGTTTGTCTTTTCTTTCTTCTTCTACTAATTAATACATTATTTCTGTATACAACATCAGTTTTCTGTTGGCATGAAGTAATGTTCAAAAGTACTTTTAAACAATGTGATGATGACATTGCAATCTAATCAAAGTTCACATAAATGAATACAATCGATTAGAACATCTTCACCGCATATATTTCTTCTTAGCAAATCTTTAATTCGTCAAGCTACAGTTTATTTGAAGAAGGATGGCAAACTGAACTTACTTTAAAAAGGCATTCATAATGTCAAACTTTTCTACCTGCAGAGAAAAACTTTTTAAAATCCATGTTTACATTTAATCTATTATGATATTTTATTTTCCCATCCAGAATGATCCTCTGGTCTCAGTATGAAGAGGTTAAGTAGAGCGGGGGCTCATTATTTCCACTGAAGTGCCTTCCAGTTTCCAGCTACCCATAATAGAATTATAGTAACTAATAATTAAGTGTAAACTATTACATTTATTAACAATGACATTTCCTTGCAGGTCACTATCAGCTTCATCACATAAAATAGATTAATCATCCAGTTAGTCCAATTAAGTTATGTACAGCTACAACGTCTCTTTTTAATTAGACCCTTCTGCATTTTTGAAAGGTCAGCGCAGGAAAGTAAACATGCACTTTTCAAATATTGGAAATAGAAAATGCTGTAATTTTACAAGCCTTGTTTGACAGTTACAAGATACCCTGACCTTAACATGACACCTTTGAAATACATCACCCTCTAGTTAAAACATACTATGCTTTATTTTACTATCAGTCTCTTGCTTGTAAATTTAGATTTATAAGTGTGGTAAAACATTTCAAGATGTCTTCCAAAGCACTTTAAACATACCACTTTGCAATTTAAACATAGGTAATATATTTTGGTAAGTCAATTTGACATACATTATTATCATTATTATTTTATTATTATTCAGGATTTATATGGCAACAACAGTTTGCACAGAGCTTTACATAATAAGGGAGAAAATACACTACAATTCGATTCAGGAGGGTCCTGCTCATGAGAGCTTGCAATCTAAAGTGAGGGGCAAGTGTTACAAACAGTATTAAAGAAGGAGTTCACCTTTTGACAAAAAATACATTCACATTTTTTGCAGGTAGAAAAAAAGTGCATTGATTTTTTTATTTTTTTTTTTTGTGAGCCTGTAAAGCATGGTGCCATGCAGGTCTCCTGCAGACCTGTCAGTATATCTGCTTGCCCATACGTGATATACAGGCAAGCAGATATAATGATGAGAGACACAGCCAGGCCAGCGAAGCCCTGCACGGCCGGGTTTTTTCTTTAATTTTGACAGCTAGCAGAAGATCCTCAACATGCACATTTAACGTATTTTTTTGAAGTTCCATGTTCTGAAAAATATATCATACACATGTCTCAGTAAATGCTGATGAAAAAGAGCATTTACATGAGTACAAGCGCGTAGTGATGCCACTTCTATGGCCGGCTGTATGCACCACCTGCCGCCTCACAGGTGCAGGAAATTAGCAGGAGTTTTACACCAGACTTCCTTTACGTATGCAAATGTCCATGTGCATGTACTATTAAGCTAGCCATACATGCTACATTCTCTGTAAAATCTCCTAAATTTACCAACAGTGTTGTGTGAGTGCTTAAAGTGGAATGCCTGTCTAACCATAACTAACCATAAATCAGGGGCGGACTGACCATTTGGAAACTCGGGCACTGCCCGAGGGCCCGGGGTCAGTAGGGGGCCCCATGAGATGCCCCTGGTACCTTTTTCATAGGCTTTTTTGAGTTTGGGCAAACACACAGGGGCCCCATGATCCCCTATTGCCCGGGGGCCCCATGAGTTGTCAGTCCGCCCCTGCCATAAATATGTGCATGTTTAGTTGTACCTTCTTTCTTTGATGGTAATATTCCACATCACATCACAAAACATCTGTTATGTTTGTATTTAAATAAAAAAAACTCAATAAAACCTAATGTATTATCCCTTATGTTGTAAAGCACTGAGTAAACTGTTGGCGCTATGTAAATTCTGTATAATAATAATAATACATTGTGATATTAAAAAATTGAATGTATTGTTAAAAAAAAAAACACACACAAGGAAAAAGTGGAGACTATACCTTTGCATAGTGAAAGTTTTCTTAGCTTAGTGAATAAGATGACTACACATTTAAAAAACAGGATTTTTTTTGCAAATGATTGGATGAATATAGTGAACACAACTCTTTATTCGCTTTATTCGCTTCATTCACTTTGCTAACAGTTTCTATTTCATTAATAAATCAACCTTTTTGAGTTTACAACCAGTTGCTTCACCAAGTGTTCCATTAATAATGTATCCCGCATGACAATTTTTTAATTATGACTTTGTTTTAGACAATGGATATCAAAAAGATTTTGGGCTTACGCGAGATAACATCCCATGATGCGGATGGATTAAAAAACTTTTGGGAGAAGAAAATAGAAAAACAAACATTAGCACATCAAATAGAGGATGCACGAAGAGGCAAAAGTGCGCTTTCAAAGTGAGTATTTTTTCTACCTTGTTGTCAATAAAGGATGGAGATTTGACTTGAAACTGCATCTCATTGATGACACAAAATTACGTTGTAAACTAATGACTATCATTACCATTAAAAAGACTCAGCTGAAAGAGACCGGTTCAGTTATTGTAGCATAAAAACTAACATCACAGGCATTTTTTTTACAGCGTCAGCATGCACCAGCAAATCAAATAATATTTTTTTTTCAGATATATTAATATTCAAATAACACATACAAAATAATTACAAAATCATTCCTTGTTTAGGCTTTTTCTTTAGTTACTGTCTTAAGGTGACATTAAACTTCAGTTTTCAAAAGAAAATATGTATTCAGGTACAGGGGCGGACTGACAACTCATGGGGCCCCTGGGCAATAGGGGATCATGGGGCCACTTTGTCCTTGCCCAAACTCCAAAAAGCCTATGAAAAAGGTACCAGGGGCATCTCATGGGGCCCCCTACTGACCCCGGGCCCTCGGGCAGTGCCCGAGTTTCCAAATGGTCAGTCTGCCCCTGTTCAGGTATGTATTCTTAGCTTAAAAAAGTATCTTCTATTGCTCTTAGCCTCTTCCAAATCTCCAAATTCTTTTTTTTTTTTTGGTGCTGTGATCTGATTTCCTGTTAGAGGGTGACTATGTTCGCTCTCCATGGTCCCATCATATTTAGGGAACATTTTCACCCTATTTTTGGGATGATGGGACTTGTAGCATGTATTGTGTAGTGCACATGACCACAATGAATGTACACTGCTCGCTCTAAGCAAACAGAAGTGAAGGAGAAAAGCAGAGGTTCTGGAGCTCACAGAGGACAATACAAGGAGGTAAAATACAGGAAGAAACAATTTCTTAAACATAGATTACAGGACTATTAAGCTGGGTACACACTATTAGGAAATGGGAAGATTACCTGATCGTTAGAAAAGTGCTTTTGACAGCCGTTTCCAAATTTGTATTGTAAATGAACACACCAGGCCTCAAAATTTCCACTTGCCTGCTTGCATTTAGCGAGTGGAAATAATGTGGGGGCAAGTGTGTTCTAGGCAGGGCTGCCTGTAGCATCATCTTACACCTGTACAGTGAGAGGTTTGTGGAAAATGAAAGCCACAAGTTGCACAGACCCTAAACCTCACAGAAGAAAGTTCCTCGTCCGATCAATAAATCCGTCTACACCTCCATTCTCCTTCTCCTTTCCCTTACCGAACCACCACCCTCCACCTTATGCAGCCTGCCAACCACCCCCCTCCAGGATTTCCTGACTGCCTGGGGTCATATGACCCACACACCCCACCCCCTCAGCCAGTTCCCTGCATGCTGAGTGGATGCTGCATGTCTCCAGAGAAGATGAGCTCAGACATTCCTCAGGACATTGTCATCCTTCTCAGTGGTGACTGGACAGCTCTCCATCCTCAAAGCTCTCCTTTCTCTATGCCCATATTAAAGGGGGCTTCCAGATACTGATAATCCCCCAACCCACAGACCCCCACAACCACAGGCCATGGTTCTGGGGAAGAGGCCCTTGTCCCCATCAACATGGGGACAAGGTGCTTTGGGGGGGGAACCCCCTGCCCCAAAGCACCGCCCCATGTTGAGGGCATGTGCCTTGGTATGGTTCAGGAGGGGGGGCACTTACTTGACCCCCCTTTCCTGACCTGCTCGGATAAGGGTCTGGTATGGATTTTGGGGGAACCCCATTGACAGCTGAAGCATGAAAGAATGTTTTTTTACTACTAAAATACCGCATGACTTAATATAAATTATTATGTGGTATTATAGTAGCTGTGCAGAATCTTACTGCATACTCAGAAGCGGTAAGACACCGCTTAGTGAATTGTCCCCTCTGTTTGAAGTTCGCAGTCAAACGTTCGACCACGAACTGAACAGAGGGGTGTTATAACTAGTTATCAGTAATTCTCAAGGAGGAGAGACTTTCTGGGTGCACTGGGTATCATGATACAGCACCAGGGGGCAAAGTATAAAATGTATTAATCAATCAGAAGCATTTTTTTAATGGTTTATTTGTATTATTTTATTTTTCTTTTTATTTCTGTGTTGTGATGTTTTAGTGATCAGGTTGACATGTGACCTCTCTGTTTTTCACTGACGATGATAAATCTACATGTAAACTAGTACTGATCTCTGGGGGGTCATACACCCGGGTGTAAAAAAATCACCTATACGGCATATCATTTTTTTTTATGGATCTGAATACAGATAATAGTGTTGTCTATGGGCTCCTACACACGGGTGTAAATTAATACTCCAATTCACACAGTGTCTTGCTGGCAAAGAGATCTATCTTAACCACTTACCCTCCTGAGGGGCCTCTTTTTGCTACTCGGCGCTGCACTAATTCAACTGATAATTGCGCAGTCATGCAATGCTGCACCCAAATGAAATTTACGTCCTTTTTTTCACACAAATAGAGCTTTTTCTTTCGGTGGTATTTTATCACCTGTGCGCTTTTTATTTTTCACGCTATAAACAAAAAAAGACCAAAAATTTTGAAGAAAAACAATATTCTTTACTTTCAGCTATAAAAAATATATAGAAAACTCAAAGTTAGTTATACATTTAGGCCAAAATGTATTCTGCTCCATGTTTTTGGTAAAAAAAATTCCAATAAGTGTATATTGATTGCTTTGTGTGAAAGTTATAGCGTCTACAACCTATGGTATAGATACTGCAATTTACGCCTTTTTTTGCTATACAGCGCTGCACTAGTTTAACGGACAATTGTGCGGTCATGCAATACGGTACATAAATGAAATTTATGTCCTTTTTTTCACACAAATAGAGCTTTCTTTCAGTGGTATTTGATTGCCTGTGCGTTTTTTATTTTTTGCGCTATAAAAAAAAAAAGGCTGACAATTTTAAGAAAAAAAAAAACAATATTTTGGACTTTTTGCTATAAAACATGTACAGTAAAAAAAATTTAAAAATCAAATTTCGGCATAAATTTTGGCCAAAATGCATTCTGCAACATGTCTTTGCTAAAAAAAAACCCAATACATGTAAATTAATTGGTTTATGTGAAAGTTATAGCATTTACAAATGGCGGTAAAGATACTGGGATTTTTAATTTTTTTTTATACTAATAATGGCGGCGATCAGCCACTTATGGTGGCGATCAGTGACTTATGGCGGCGGTCAGCGACTTATGGCGGGACTGCGGGACTGTGGCGGACATTCTGACACTGGGGGGAACTGACTTGGGGTCACTGACATCCCCAGTGACACCAATACAGTGATCAGTGCAAAAAAAAAAAACTGACACTGTACTAATGGCACTGGGGAGGAAGGGGTTAACTTTTTTATTTACTGAAAGGGTTAACTGTGTGAGGGGAGTGTTTTACTAGGGGGCGGGGGTGTGTCCTGCATGGGGACAGCTGATCGGGAGAGATAAACTCTTCTCTCCGGCTCAGCATGTCAGGAGCTGACAGGGAACTGACAGATAGCAGAGCTACTGCAGCCCTGCTCTGTCGGTGATTGCCGCTAATCAGCGGGACACGGCCGGTAATGACTGGCTGTGACCCGGCGACTGACATCCGCGGCCGTGATCGGCGGGACAGGTAGGGTGGGGGTGCGCCTCGCGTGCGCACCCCCTGCCTGTTTTGCAAACACACATTTTAAAACGTGGTTTTGCCCAGCCATGCCGCCCTGCCAACGTATTTCTACCGTGGCTGGGCGGCATGTGGTTAAAAAAAAAAAAAAAAAAAAAAAACACACACATAACGCTTGGGTATACACTAGCAGAATTTTGTTTAACATTTATTTTTCTAAGTGTTGGTGGGGTCAAAAAAAAACAAAGGAGTTGATTTACTCAATGTCCATTTTGCAAGTTAATTTATCCTAGAGCTTAGTGAACGAGGTAAAGCCTTGCTGACTTATATCATCCAACCATGTGCAAGCAAAAATGTATTTGTTCATTTTTCCTTGCATGTGATTGGGTATTCTTTTGCATAGTGAATTTTCACCACATTCACTGATCTGTAGGAAAATTCCTAAGCAAAGTGCAACTTCCCTTGCAAAGGGAACAGCCTTATTGCCTTTAGTAAATAAACCCCAAGCTACTTATTTAGTTAAAAATGTACTTCTTTAGTAAACCCTAACGATCCTCATCCCTTTCCAGCTGCACTATTATAGTGCTGGCTGCTGTGGTCTGCATTAGTATATCAGTCTCTGGGAAAACAGATATAAAATAGTACGCACACACTTTACACATTTTAAAACTGCTGTACAACAAGTGGTATTTAAATCAATGCAAAATTAAGCTTATCGCTTATAATGTAAAAATTCAATATTGGTCTGATGTTAGTAAAAGTGAAACAGTATACGTGTGCCAGCCCTGTAGGGATGTATTAAAACTAAAACAGCTCAACAGAAAATATACACACAACAATATTTGATCAAATTACTGCTCCATAAACACTATTGATTTATGTGATTGATAAATGACATTTTTACCGTTTCTGAAACCAGACATTTTTCTTACATACATATTGATGATACCAATTAAGCCTCCTACATGTTGCAGATTGAAAAAATATTATTAAACCTTTGTAGCAAATGGAAGTAAAACTGATTGCACAGCTCAAAACAATTTTCCCTTTCATAAATGATTGATATTTTGTGCATAAATCTGAAATGCTTGAAAAAGAAAATCATACCAGTAAAGTACATTAAACATGTGTTATACCTCTGTTTACAAAACATACTTAAACCATATAAGGGTAATAATAAAATAAATATTTAACAGACTTTTGCTCATCAAAACATTAGCCAGCTTCTTGCCCTGTCTCTTGTACAAATAGTACTAGTAAGCACCTAGGGTTTGTGCCAAAAGCAAAATAGCTAATCATTTTGCTAGGGAAGTTTCACCTTGCAAGGGAAGTTTACCCAAAGCTTACTGAATGTGGTGAAATTTCACTTTTGCAAAGAATACTTAATCAAATGCAAGGAGAACATAAAAGCAGTATTTTAGTTT